TACTAAGTAATAAGTTAGACTGCCCCAGTTTACTAAGTAAAATTAATTTTCGAGTACCACGCAGATATCCACGTACTGCTATTACTCCAGTCATGCCTCCACGCACCAGGACGGTCTTCGGCGCCAACTCCACAATCCCTCGTTTATGTAAATTATATAATAATTTCAGTCAGTTAATTGATATCAACATTAATTCGCCTAACACCTTTCGTAAATTAATTATCAATAGCCTAGTCAGCCAGTCATCCTGAGTGTGATTTTTTTTCTCATATTACTTATTACGTATATCTTCTCTTTTAAATTCTAATAATATATATTTAGTTGGGCTAGATTATGATAGTTGTTAAAATAAGTTGTAATTTTAATTGAAAGACAAATTATTAGTTTGATTAAATCTCTTTCGTTGTTTAAATTGATAAGGTTTTACAGGCTTTTACCAAAATTACTATTGTGTTTTTTAGTCTGTTTCTGATTTTGTTTTCTTTTTCTGTTATTAACTTATTTCAGATTTATACACTAATACTAGCAAAAATAGCATGTAGTGTTTACCTTTAAATGATTTTACATACTCTGTGCAAGTAATATAGTAATTATACTTTAAGAAATGTATGTAACGTATGTATTGTAAAATCGCTGGTAGACCCAAAATAAATAAATAAATAAATAAATAAATTTACAAGGCGCAGGTTCGGCCGCACATGGAATACTGTTCCCATCTCTGGGCTGGGGCTCCCCAGTACCAGCTTCTTTCACTTGACCGCATCCAGCGCAGAGCGGCTCGAATCGTCGACGACCGAGTGCTTTCCGATCGGCTCGATTCACTGGCACTGCGAAGAGATGTTCCATCTCTTTGCATTTTATTTCGCATATACCATGGAGAGTGCTCTGAGGAATTGTTCGGATTAATCCCAGCCGCCAAATTTCGTGAACGCACTACGCGGTAAACGTCCCGATACCATCCACACCATCTGGATGCTTGGCGGTCCACCACAGTACGTTTCAAAAGGAGTTTTCTTCGGCGTACAACCTCTCTGTGGAATAGTTTACCACCGGCGATTTTTCCGAACCGATACGACCTGGGGACCTTCAAGATAAGAGCTTACTCCTTTCTAGCAACGCACCTGCAATTCCCCTGGTGTTGCGGTTGATCATGGGCGGCGGTAGTCACTTAACATCAGGTGAGCCGCATGCTCGTTTGCCCCGCTCCCTCTTCTATAAAAAAAACATTGTCTTCTTGTTCTTACTGTTATATTTCTGTCAGGTGAAGATTCTACACTTTCATCGGGGATGTACTCGCTGTCTGACTGTGATTTATGTTCACTCACAGTGTCTAATGAGTCATCACTTGAAATTTCTTCTAAATTGTTACTTTTAATATAGCTTTCATTTGTAATTAATTCAATCGGTACAAAATCTCTTTTAACTGTTGACTCTAAAAATATTGCATCTCTACTTTTTATTGCTGTTCTTGAATTGGGTAATATGAATCGGTACCCTTTTGAATCACAGTAGCCAATAAAAATTAATTTTTGTGATTTTGAATCAAACTTCTTTCTTTTTTCTCTTGGTAAGTGGACCATTGCCTCACAACCAAATGTACTTATGTGGCTAACCTTAGGTTTATGACCAGTCCACATCTCTTCTGGGGTTTTATAAAACAGAGATTTTGTTGGAGAGCGGTTTACAATGTAGGCAGCTGTATGAATTGCTTCAGCCCAATAGATTTTAGGTAAGTTAGCATTTAACATCATACATCTTGCTCTTTCTACTAAAGTTCTGTTCATGCGTTCGGCTGTACCATTTTGTTCTGGTGTATAAGGTGTAGTTGTCTGATGTATTATTCCGGATATATCAAATCTTTGAGAAAATTTGAAAATTTTTCATTGACATATTCAAGTCCATTGTCAGATCTGAGAATTTTAATGCTGCGGTTTAACTGATTCTCAACTTGTTTTTTAAATTCTTTAAACTTTTCTAGGACTTCTGACTTGTTGTACATGGTATACACAAATATTTTCTTTGAGTAGTCATCGAGGAATGTTACAAAATATCTGGCTTTGCGCAAAGAGTGAGTTTCCATCGGTCCGCAGACATCTGAGTGTATCAATTCAAGTAGATCTTTGCTCTGAGACCCTTGACTTTTAAAATATAAACGTGTTTGTTTTCCTTTCTGACATGTTATACACTTAACATTTTCTTTGACTTGACTTAACTTTAAATCTGCAGTGTTCTCGGTCAACTTCTTCATGCTCTGAAAATTCAGATGACCCACCCTTTGGTGTCACAGGTAAGTATCTTGTTCAATAATATCTGATATGCATGCATAGCCACCAGGCATGTTCAGTCGGTGCATATTATTTATTAAACTCGCTGTTGCTACTATGACATTCTTTCTATTAAGAATAACACAGCCACTCTTATTAAACTTAACTTGGCCACCATTATTAACAATCTGACTTACTGTCAACAGGTTTGTAGCTAGTTCAGGTACATATAATACATTAGTAAACAATATATCATTTTGTTGGCCTCTTCCATCATAAACACTCAAGCTAATTTTTCCAGAGCTTAGGACAGATAGTGTTATTATTTGCAACTTTAATGTTTTTAATGTGTGGAGTTGTTTCTTCTATAAACAAATTATTGTGTTTGGTCATGTGTACAGAAGCACCAGAATCAACATACCAGGCATCGGAGTATCCAAAAGAAGCTATAAAGACGGCAACATAAGACATACTGTTTTGTTTATTTGTATTCTTCTGATCCTTATTGGATTTTGATGATTTGCACTCAGGACTTTTATGCCCATATTTGTTGCACGTATAGCAGCGAGGGCCTTTAGAAAATCTTTTATTTTTGTTGTGGAACTTCTGACTTGTAACAAGATCTGAAGAATCACTTTCATTTTGTTTAACATCTTGTAATAATTTTGATTTCACTGAGTCAGAGGAAATCTTCATACCTGAGCTTTCAATGGCCATTATCATTGGCTTGTAACTTTCTGGAAGGCCGGACAGCAAAAGTGTGCCTAGCCACTCATCGTTCACATTAAAGCCAATGTTCCTTAACTTATGAGTTGTTGTCATTATTTTACTGACATACTCCTCTACATTTAAACATCCAGCTAGTGTAGTATTGCATAAGTCACGCAGCAGACCAACTCGGCGTGTTAGCCCGGAGTCGTCGAAAGCGTGAGATAAATTTTCCCAAACTTCTTTCGCAGTGTGTGATTCTTGAATATGAACATAGTTAACAGGATCGACAAGCAGTATTATTTTCGATCTGGCTTTAGTGTCACACTTTGTGTCAATTGCGCTTGAATTTACACATTCCACGCAATCCCATAATTCCTCATGTTGCAAGTACGTTTTAACAGCAAAACGCCATGTGGCATAGTTATCACGGCCGGTTAATTTCTCAATTAATGCCAATTGATTACTTGATGACATGCTGAATTCGAAATAAAACTCAAAATTTATTCTGAAAACTGAGCACGTTGCCTTTGTTTTTTTTTTTTATAGAATAGGGTGACAAACGAGCACACAGTCCGCCTGATGGTAAGTGATTGCTGCGGCCCATAGACATCTACATTTATCCTCCATTAAAAATCAAAATGCAGATGCGGTGGCACCCGTGAGGACGGAGATGGAATGCCTCCTTTCCAGTAAAAAGGGTCTCTGGTTCTCTACACTCACCATACGAAATACAGCAGCATTAAGCTACTATTTCACGCTGGTATTCTGTGAGAGCGTGGTCCTTCCCCGGTCGAGCCGACCCATTCGTGCTACAACTATACTACTAATATAACTGCAGCATGGCTCTACCACGTACAAAAGTTACCTTTGTAGGTTACCTTTTACAAAACTGTTTTTGACACTGATTTAGTAGACTTTATGCACTGATTTTATTTATCGGGCTTTCTGGGCCCATAACCTGTTATTATTAAATGAAAATAATATCCTTTTCTAAAGAATTTAAACAAACATTTATTAGTGACAAAATACAACACTTTATACTGGTAATGACCACAGAGTAGAGAGAGTGCTTTTTTATCATAGAGTATATAATAATATACAAGAGCACAGATTATAGAAGGCGCAAATTTTTATTACAACAATACATAAATGTATTGAGAGGCCAGAGTTAATATATTAATTTCCTTAAATTTTTGTCTGAGCGACTCTTTTAGTTTTAAATCATATATTGCTCTAAAGGCCTTCTTATGTTAAACAAATATAATTTCAGTGTCAGTCGCGTGTTCCCATAGCAAAATACCATACGACATAATGCTGTGGAAATAGCTAAAGTAAACTATTCTAGCTGTTTCAATACTTTTTTAATTTTTTTCAATCTTTTTTACAGCATATGGTCCAAAACTAAGCCATTGAAGCTTTGCGTCTAGTGTGATTCCAAGAAAAATGGTGGTATCAACATATCTCAGCTCCTCCCCAATTAAAATGTAATGTGTGTTAAGAAAGTTAAAAAGTAAAATATATATATATATATATATATATATATATATATATATATATATATATATATATATATATATATATATATATATATATATATATATTATGTGTAATGTTACAAACATTGTATTAAATTTGTTAACATTCATATTGCCTATGTCAAACATTTATTACCATGTCGTTTGTTAACGTTTATACTGTCAATGTCAAACATATGATTGGTCTGTAGTCAAACAGTAGCACAGAGTAGAAATTGACGCCAAATAATTTTAAAACGTTGCCTACAAACAATTACTGACAAATCGACTGAATGAGCTGTAATACTCGTGTGATTTCTAATGTTTCTTTTTTAATAGTCCGAAGAGTGTATGTCAAGGCAAAAAACAGACGAATATATTTTGTTTATTAGATATGTGTGATTTGAAATACAGGTTGCCGAATATAATAGAATTACGATGTAATTTGGAGCACTAGGCGAGTACTGGTTATCTATTATTATTGAGGCAGTGCGTGGTTGGTTGGTTGCAGGCGAAAAGCCGTACGCATGCGCCGTGTGCCCACGCGCATTCAACCAGCGAGTGGTGCTGCGCGAGCACGTGCGCTCGCACCACTCCGCGCCTGACCGCCGCGCCAACGGTAAATTACACAAACATTTTATTTATATTGAAACAGCGCGTGGTGCTGCGCGAGCATGTGCGCTCGCACCACTCCGCGCCCGACCGCCGCGCCAACGGTACATTACACAAACATTATATTTATATTGAACCAGCGCGTGGTGCTGCGCGAGCACGTGCGCTCGCACCACTCCGCGCCCGACCGCTGCGCCAACGGTACATTACACAAACATTATATTTATATTGAACCAGCGCGTGGTGCTGCGCGAGCACATGCGCTCGCACCACTCCGCGCCCGACTGCCGCGCCGACGGTACATTACACAAACATTATATTTATATTGAACCAGAGCGTGGTGCAGCGCGAGTATGTGCGCTCGCACCACTCCGCGCCCGACCGCCGCGCCAACGGTACATTACACGAACATTATATTGAACCAGCGCGTGGTGCTGCGCGAGCACGTGCGCTCGCACCACTCCGCGCCCGCCGCCGCGCCAACGGTACATTACACAAAGATTATATTTATATTGAACCAGCGCGTGGTGCTGCGCGAGCACGTGCGCTCGCACCACTCCGCGCCCGACCGCCGCGCCAACGGTACATTACACAAAGATTATATTTATATTGAACCAGCGCGTGGAGCTGCGCGAGTACGGGCGCTCGCACCACTCCGCGCCCGACCGCCGCGCCAACGGTACATTACACAAACATTTTATTTATATTGAACCAGCGCGTGGTGCTGCGCGAGCATGTGCGCTCGCACCACTCCGCGCCCGACCGCCGCGCCAACGGTACATTACACAAACTTTTTATTTATATTGAATCAGCGCGTGTTGCTGCGCGGGCATGTACGCTCGCACCACTGCGCGCCCGACTGCCGCGCCAACGGTACATTACACAAACATTATATTTATATTGAACCAGCGCGTGGTGCTGAGCGAGCATGTGCACTCGCACCACTCCGCGCCCGACCGCCGCGCCAACGGTACATTTCACAAACATTATATTTATATTGAACCAGCGCGTGGTGCTGCGCGAGCACGTGCGCTCGCCCTACTCCCGCGCCCGACCGCCGCGCCATCGATACATTACACAAACACTATATTTATATTGAACCAGCGCGTGGTGCTGCGCGAGCACGTGCGCTCGCACCACTCCGCGCCCGACCGCCGCGCCAACGGTACATTACACAAACATTATATTTATATTGAACCAGCGCGTGGTGCTACGCGAGCACCACGCACGCACCACTCCGCGCCCGACCGCCGCGCCAACGGTACATTACACAAACATTATATTTATATTGAACCAGCGCGTGGTGCTGCGCGAGCACCACGCACGCACCACTCCGCGCCCGACCGCCGCGCCAACGGTACATTACACAAACATTATATTTAAATTGAACCAGCGCGTGGTGCTGCGCGAGCATGTGCGCTCGCACCACTCCGCGCCCGACCGCCGCGCCAACGGATTCCCCGCAGCTGAGCGGATTCAGCGTCGCGCGTACAATGACCCTTGTCAGCTAGATTTTAGGTATTGAAGTTTAGGTATTTTCATGATTTTTTTAATGAAATTATCGTTTCATTTAGCTGTACTAACATGATAGAGCGTGAACAAAGCTAATTAAACGTAAATAAATGATATATTTTTTTCATCGGGATCGATTATCTCTTTGTAACATCATTAATGGTATCCTTACTGCTATCGTCTCTCTTCTTTTTCGGTTATTTTTTTACATTTCTGTCTGAGCGATCACCGTAAGTGAAAGGCTGTAAGGGGTCTCAGTTCGTAGAGGTGATAACTTACAACTTAGCTGCAAGTGTTCATGGGCTGCAATCACTTACTGCACTGCACTTACCATCTTCAGGTGGACTTTAAGTTTGTTGGATATTTCAGTTTTAGAAGCCTAATTTAGTAACGAAATGAATTCTTAAAAAAATTTAATTGTATAATTCTTATAAACAACATTTAAAAAAGAATCGTTCTGAGCACTCTTATATATGGTTCTAAGTAAACGTAGTTATTACATACTCTTTGGTTCTCAGGAGTCCCTTCTAAATATTACTATGCTCTTTGGCAGGGTCTACAAAGGTGACAATTAGATTCTGCGAACCGGTTGTATTGGCGTTTGAGTGGTTAAAAATACAGTTCAGGCTAAAAATGTACAAAAAATTTAATTGACTTTGTTTTTTTTTAGTGGTTCTTGATCGAATGATTTGATGTTTTGTTTGTAATTTAAAATATTCTAATCGATGTTACTAATATAAGTTCTATTGTTCGGTATTTATTATTATGTTCCTAATGTAAAAAAGATTTAAATTATATATTATTATAAATTTTATACGTAACTTATGTAAAACATACCATACAATAATCGGCTATTTAAGTCCCGCATGAGCGTGACTTAACCGTGGTTTTAAGTCACCGTGTACATATGTATGTCAATATAATGCGCGCAAGATAAGTCTGCGCGCGACTGGTGGCGTACTTAATGTTGCTATTTTAACTAATATTATTTCCTTCATTTAATCTTATTACTAGAATTATATAATTATAAATAAATTACATAAATTAACAAATTGATTACCAAAGCTCAGTTAAAAACTATAATGTTAAGCTTAAACTTACAGAGACCTAATAATTTTTTAAACCCTATGATTCTTGCTTTGATCCTCGTAATAAATATATTTCTTGAATGTAACTTTCGTAAGTAAGACATCATCATTCATCATCATTACAGCCCTTCACAAGTCCACTGCTGAACATAGGCCTCCCCCAAGTAATGCCACAAAGCACGGTCCTGAGCCACCTGCATCCATCGACTTCCTGCATATCTTACCAGGTCGTCACTCCATCTAGTGGGGGGTCGCCCTACACTACGCCTACCGGTACGAGGCTGCCACTCGAGAACCTTTCTTCCCCATCGGTTATCGGTTCTTCGAGCTATATGGCCGGCCCATTACCACTTCAGCTTACTAATCCGTTGGGCTATGTCGCTCACTCTGGTTTTACTGCGGATATCCTCATTTCTGAGTATATCACGCAGAGAAACTCCGAGCATAGCCCTCTTCATAGCTCGCTGAGCGACCTTGAGCGTCCTCATACGGCCAGCAGTGAAGGACCACGTCTCAGATCCGTAAGTCATCACCGGCAACACGCACTGGTTGTGCAATCTAGTTTTTAGAGATTGAGGTATACCTGACGTGAAGATGTGTCGTAATTTCCCGAACGCTGCCCAGCCGAGTTGAATTCGTCGATTGACCTCTCGGTCGAAGTTGGACTTACCTAGTCGGACTATTTGTCCCAGGTAAACGTACTCGTCAACAACTTCGAGCATAGTGCTCCCAACAACTACCGGCATAGGTGTGACATGGACATTAAACATGATCTTTGTTTTGTCCATGTTCATCTTAAGACCTATCCATTGGGAGGCACTTAAGTCTCCGGTAAGTCCAACTTCGACCGAGAGGTCAATCGACGGATTCAACTCGGCTGGGCAGCGTTCGGGAAATTACAACGCATCTTCTCGTCAGGTATACCTCAAAACCTGAAAACTAAGTTGTACAACCAGTGCGTGTTGCCAGTGATGACATATGGAACTGAGACGTGGTCCTTCACTGCTGGCCGTATGAGGACGCTCAAAGTCGCTCAGCGAGCTATGGAGAGGGCTATGCTCGGAGTTTCTCTGCGTGATAAACTTAGAAATGAGGATATCCGCAGTAGAACCAGAGTGACCGACATAGCCCATCGGATTAGTAAGCTGAAGTGGCAATGGGCCGGCCATATAGCTCGAAGAACCGACAACCGTTGGGGAAAAAAGGTTCTCGAGCGGCAGCCTCGTACCGGTAGGCGAAGTGTAGGGCAACCCCCCCACTAGATGGAGTGACGACCTGGTAAGACATGCAAGAAGTCGATGGATGCAGGTGGCTCAGGACCGTGCTTGGGGGAGGCCTATGTTCAGCAGTGGACTTATGAAGGACTGTAATGATGATGATGATGATATCTTACACCCTCTGCAGTTGGATAGGTTTCGAGCTCTGGTTCTGTACTCGGATAGCCATCGTAGTCCTACTGTACAATCACTTCAGCACTTCGATATACCGACAGTCAACTTGGCACCGCTGAAGGGACTGTAGCACCGCCCAAATTTCGACGGAATCAAAGGCTTTCTCATAGTCCACCTACGCCAGGCAAAGTGGCAGATTGTACTCCTCGTTCCTCTGTACAATCTGCCGCAGGGTATGTAGGTGGTCTATGGTACTGAAGCTTTTCGGAAACCGGCTTGTTCGGGAGGCTGGAAGTCGTCGAGTCTGCGTGCGAGACGATTCGTAATGACTCTCGAAAACAGCATGTAGACGCGGCTCTGAAGGGAAATCGGTCTGTAGTTCTTCAAGAGAGCGTTGTCGCCTTTCTTAAAGAACAAGACCACCGCACTTCTGTTCCACGCCTCTGGAGTAGTGCCACCATGGAGGACGGAATTGAAGAGCTTCTGAAGGACTTCAAGTACCGGTGTTCCACCCGCTTTCAGAAGCTCCGCTTTAATTCCATTCTCGCCTGGCGCCCTGCCGTTTTTAAGGTGCTGGAGAACCATCCTAATCTCGCTTAGACTGACGTCCGGGATATCATCGGAATAGTGTCGGATAAGACTTGCTCTTGGATCGTTACTCACACTTGCGTGTGGCTCCAATGATGATGTGTACAGCTGCCCATAGAACCTCTCAATCTCACTCAAAATCTCAATCGTCCCGGAAACGATGCTGCCACACTCAGTCTTCAGCTATGACAGTTGGCTCTTACTGGCAGACAGATCTCTGGCAAAGACTTTGGAGCCCTGGTTCCGCTCGATCGCTTCTTTAATACGAGCAGTATTAAAGTTGCGTAAGTCTCGCCGCATGCATGTGGAGATCTGTCTGTTCAGTTGCCTGTATGCTGTCAAATCTGTTGACGATTGCAGCCTCATCTCCCGTCTAACAGCCATGAGATTAAGAGTGTGATCGGAGAGTTTTTATCTGCGGCGGGTCTTGCAGAACTTAGCTCCGACCGCATGGGCAGTTTCCAAGAGCTTGTCATTCATATCGTCCACTGCATTGCAATCTTGTAGGCACTGAAAGCGGTTACGTAACTCGAGCTGAAATTTTCGGGCTTTTGGGTTAGAGCACGAGGGGGACGGAGCATTGACTTAATTAGACGAGACCTCTCCAACTTAACGTTTAGGTTCAGTGTGCCTCTAACCATTCGGTAATCGCTGCCAGTTTTCACCCTTGCGATCACTGAGACATCACTGAACAGTTGGCGTCTGGTCGTCATAATGAAGTCAATCTCATTTTTTGTCGAACCGTCGGGGCTCGACCAGGTCCACTTCCTGTGTTCATCATAAAGAGTCCCTCTTTCTCCATAAAGTCGGCCAGCGGCTGGCCCCTTCGGTTCCGTTGCCCTACTCCAAATTCCCCTAACTTCAGCTCACCGTTTTCTCTTGTGCCTAGTTTTGCGTTGAAGTCTCCCATCAACACCGTGTAGTGGGTTTTGGAGGAATGCATGGCTTTGGAAATATCCTCATACATTTCCTCCACCTCCTCATCGGGATGTGCCGAGGTTGGAGCGTAAACCTGTATGACCTTTAGGGAATACCGTTTGGTGATTGTGAGTATCAGATACGCGACCCTCGTCGAAACACTCCCAATCTTTACAACGTTGTTGACGAGAGACTTGTGGACGATAAATCCGACACCTCCTTGGGACAGATGGTCGCCTCCCGGTGATAGAACAAGTTGCCGGATTCGAGAATCACCGTGTCCTCCCCCTCTCTTCGAACCTCGGATAAAAGTAAGACATACATTTATATTATTCTATGGTAAGACTTATATAAGTTATTAGTATAACCCATTAGATTTTTTTTTCATTCATGCCAGCAAGTTCGACACAAATAATATTATAGTTAAAATACGTGTGGCACTCGGTGACTGCCGCGGTAAAGCTATTGCATAGCATTTTTTATCAACTTATGCAATTATAATTATTTATTTATTTTATTTATGCAGTTAAGTCTTTGATATTAAATCAAGTTACACTTTTTGAGCGTGGTGACCGATAATAAAACAATTTTTTTCTCTTATTGAATAAATGAGAAGTTAATACTGTTTAAAATATTTTTAATATCTTACAATACATGTAGGTTATTCAGGATTTTTTATCATTGAGTTAGCAGCTAGTGTAGACGCACACAAACACCGTGCCGAAATCTGCCGAGTTCCGAAGTCTGCCGAACTAAAACGACGTTAGACGATGCACGGCTTTCAACGCCACACCTCCGTGCCCGTCGGAGTGGGGAGCGTGAAGTTTTTTTCGTTACGGAATTTCTGAATTAGGTCCCCGCGCTCAAGGCCCGCGATAGAAGCTATGCAATAGCTTAAAAAGCTAAAAAGACACGCTTTATTTTTTTCGGTATTTTTCTCAGCAAACCCTTTTATTTGAGACCCGTATCATGGAAATGCATAAAAAATAACTTGTCCTCCATCTTTTGGTAGTCCGCCATATTGGATTTAATATGTCGTCATTTATTTAACCATACATTGTCATCCAAACTGAACGTGTATGCAAAATTTCAGCTCAATCTAAAATCGGGTAGTTGGTCAAATTTAACTTCCAATTTTTTTTACATATTTACGGGTATATTAGCGTATTAGAAACGACTATTACTAAGATTAATGAACAACAACAACATGGAACAATGGAACAACTGTAGGATCGTTATTGTCTCGTTCCTTTTCACAAGTACGTTTGACTTTCAATATCCCTGCCAGCAGTTTTAATCACTCGGTATAATGATGATGGTTATTTACTGCGAAAACCAATAAAAACACGGCACCTAACACACTCTTAACTATTACTTAAAGAGCATGCGTACTTTAAAATATTTTTCCTTATTAATCACATTGTGCGGTTTGATATGCAAGCGCAAAATAATTGTTAGTATCTTTTAATTTCACTAACAAGTAATATTTGGCATTGACCAGGAGGAAATGCATACTGTTGTGTGGTATGCGGTCGGACTTTGCACTCCAGTGTGGAGTTGGTGCAGCATCTGATACAACATTGCGACGCTAACACTGCATTGAAAAGACAACCACAGGTATGTCATTGGGAAGTTTTCAAAGCAATGTTTTTTTGTTTTCTGTAAAATAAATTAATATACTATAATTGAGGTGTTTCTGTGGAACAGGGGCATAAGAGAATCTATCTCTCCATTATGTTTAATGCCTGTTTTAAGAAACTATTATGGGAAATGTTATCTGTAGTTTCCGATAGACTAAACTATAATCATCTCATTATGTAAAGATTCTTATTGAAGTTAAGAGGCCCATATTAAAGTTAAGAGGTACAAACAGGTACAAAAAGATTAAAGCAAAGTGCGAGTTCTCAGTTAAGTAACAAATACAACATATGTATTTTATTAGTATGATCACTAGATTTGACAGATACGATGTAACAATGGTTTTATTAACAAAACATTTTGTGCGTTTATTAAAAAATAATTTACTTGACACTGCAGAGTGGTCCGCGTAAGTATAAGCGTAGGCGGAAACTGAAGAGCGAAATGGTATCTCCGAAGCGCGAGTGGGAGGAGCCGGAGCCGGAGCGTGCGTCGTCTCCGTCGGGCGTGTCGGGAGCGTCGCGCGTGTCGCACGCGTCGCGCGACAGCCCCGTGCGTGCTTCGCCGCCGTACCGCCGCAGACGCGCGCCCGCGCCCGCGCCTCGCCCCCGCATGATACATACCGAGGAGCCGCGCCCCAGGACCAAGCAGGTACCTACTTGCTTGTGGCGTGCGAAAGCAAGACAGCGACAGAAAGAGCCAATGAGAGGGCTCATTGGCTCTTTCCCGCGCGCACTACCTTGACTCCCACAAATATTTAACCTCTTCCTTGTCCCAATTTAACGTCATTTTCTCCCTTCTGGGGCTGACGGCACAATAACGCCTACGCGAAAACTAGCGCAACAGCCCGTAGTTCACCCCATCGCTCACATGGCATCGGTGCCTTTTCGGTCTTAAGACATGGCAACCCTAGCCGTGGCGCCGCTATTTTGCGCTAGAGCATCTTCAACTACGCCCGCAAATTTTAATCGTTGGAAATATTTACTTTAGTACAGTATATTTCAATTAGTATAAATTTCGCAAATTATTATTATGCTAGATAGTTAACTCATTATAGTTATTTTGATTGTAGCTGAGCTTTCTTGCCAGTCCGAATGGGGAAAATAAATAGAAGTATCAATATGTCACTTAACGTAAAAAAAGAAATATCCTATCTCTGGCGAAAAAATAATAGAGAACAAAAATGTCTGCATGCTTGCCATATGGACTAGTTTCTATTCTAGACAGATTATGCAATAAAAGTACTAAAAATCTACAAAGACGACAAATTTTGGATTTTGAATATGTTAGCCAAGTTACAAGCGTTTTATAAAAAGTGTGTACTGCCTGAAATTATTGACTCGAGATAAGCTCGCTCAATGCCTTTGCGGCAATATTTTATAATAAAGGTATGGTAATTGACTGTAAGTGCCGATTAAAAAATATAAGTTACAGTTGGTTATTTTATTTATTAAAACAGGTTGCAACCATACTATTAATTTATTTATACCACTATGCTACCGTTAGTAGATATAATTGATTACTAACCAACTTCTGTTAACAATCGATTACTGTGAAACAATTAAAATACTTACGTGTACTTATTTCAAATTTAATGTTCATAAATAATGAAAAATATATCAAATAGATTATAATAAATGAATAAAATAACATAAAAATGACACACCAAAAGTTTTCCATCCACTGAACTCCATCCTAAGAAAACTTGTATAATGGAAGATCAAGATCGTTCTGTCGCTATACTCACAGTACCGTAGTGCGAGCGATTGAAAAGATTTGAAATGAAGTGTCGCTCGCGTAGGTCATCGCCCGCTTGGAGCGTCAAATACCTAAATTTGCGTAACGCCGAAATGTAAGGTGTAGGTGTAGTAATGTAGGCTCTTAAGGTAAATATGAATTCGATTATCCAAACTCTAGTCATGACTCCCATATTTACTTTCGCGTTCCTGAAATATTAACTTTCCGATCGCCGGCACATGCTTTTTTACTGGATGAAAGAAAATATAGAACTTTCTAGGGCAAGCCATTCTACTGGTTCTTTCGGAAAATACTAGAACACTCGCGATAGCATTACTATAATTATATTAAATGAAGAAAATGCTTTAACTCCGTAGATATAAGGTTGCTTCTTATTTGCATTAATAGTTTCAACATTATCGGCGGACACTTATTGTCGGCAACATTCTCTTGCGTATTATACAAGCAAATTTGCAGAAGTTTAGAATAAACAATATAGGCAAATGGTAAACAAAAATTATTTAAAAAATCTCAAACATTCTGTCCTTTTTATCTTTTAAATTCAATATGTGCATTATTTTAACTGATTTTACTACTCACGCACACATTTTTTGGGTTCGATCGTAAGCAAACACGTTATTGCCCATAAATCTATAAAATAATGATCTTTGAAAAAGTATTTTTATATTCTGTACAATAAACCAGATTACAATTAGCTGTTCCTTTTCTCATTAAAAATATAAACACATGAAAGTATAAAATCGTGCGCTGGCGACCCGGAAATCAATTATTTAGGGACAACAATTGCGCAGTTAATACTACTTGATTCAAGAAATGCTGGAAGAATTTGATTACTCTCCATATTTTGCAGACAGATCGACGGACGCCCACAGATACAGTGACATCTTGCAGCATTTTTGACGTTGCTTTCCGTCGTTCGTCTGGTTATTGCAAATTCAATATACGAGATGGGGATACCACGATCTTTAGTTCAAGATTTTCAATTTAAACATAGAAGCACGTATAATGGCAGGTACGCAGCCGACGTCCCCCGCGGCACCCGGCGGATGACTTGCGTGCGATAGCGCCGCGCTCGCCGTCGCCGGTGCCGCCGGTATCGCCGGTGCCGCCGGTGTCGCCGGTGCCGCCGGTGTCGCCGGTGCCGCCGGTGCCGCCGGTGTCGCCGGTGCCGCCGGTGCCGCCGGTGTCGCCGGAGCCGGCGACCTCCCCGACCACCCCCCAGTCGCCGCCCTCCCCCACCTGCCCCACCTCCCCGCACTCGCCCGCCGGCCCCTACAAGTGCGAGATGTGCTCGCTGGAGTTCCCGCGCCGCGATGCGTTGCTATTGCACGTGCCCGTTCACATCTGACGCAGGAGCGCACGCCGACGACGTAACAACCGCACTCGCGTACGTGTATGAACACTTATATTGTGAAGTATTATACTCTACACTAGAGTGGACTAATATCGATATTGAAATATTAAACTGAGAAGTTTTCACTATTTTATTTTATTGAGCAACATTGTTTTATTATTGACATAGTAAAGTGAGAAGTTTCCTCTATTTTATTTTATAAAGCATCAGTTGTTGACAAAATTATGTTATTGGGTGTGGATATATTACTATGTTAAAGCTGTTATAGTATTTTTTATTTGTGGTTCATTCATGTTACTCATTCAATACTGTAAAAGAGTTAATAACATTTATAATGTAATCTATACAAACGCTTAAAGATTAAAATTATTGCGATATAATCCTTTTGCATATTCTCCCTGTAAGAGTAGCCTTTAACGCTATACAAATTTATGACTAACTTGTTTTGAGATCATATAAAATAATATTTTTATTTTGATCATATTATATAAAATAAAGATGAAAAGGTGAAGCAAAACATCGCGAGGAAACCTGCATGTCTGAGGAATAAGAAAAAAAATATTTTCGAAGACATGTGAAGTTCGCCAACACGCATTGGGGCAGCGTGGCGGACACTTCCTTGCCCTAAAAACCCTCTCCGAAATGAGGGGAGGCCTGTGCCCAGCAGTGGGACGTATATAGGCTGTAATTTAAAGATGAAAAAGAAAAAAAGATAGGTGAACATTATCTACCTGTAAGCTATCTAAAATGATTTACAAAGCCATACACAATTAATGAATAATTGATAGCCGAATGATTTCTTAAATTTACGCGAACACTACACATTGAATAAAACTAAATTTACGGATTTTATCGCGTTTATTTCATTACTTTTACTTATTTTTAATTCCCAACGTTTCGGGTGCTTTACAGCACTCATGGTCACGGGGGGGGGGACACTGAGATGTTTGACGTCCCAATGTCATCGTTAGTCCGGCTTCCTTCAGTTTTTGAATATTAATCTTTAGTCCGATTTACGCAAAACGAGCTTATAGTATCATGAAGTCTTGCAGCGGTATGCTTAGGTTTGGGTTTAATTTTGTTAATTATAGGGTCCCAAGCAGGTGGCAGCACCCATCCATCTTCTCTATTGAAATTTGGATGTTTTTAATTTCAATAGCCTTGCGTATCATCCTTGGTAGGAATCGGTGTTCTTTTGCGAGAATTTGTGGTTTATCAAATTGAATATAATGGTGGGGACGATCTTGGACATGTTCGCAGACTGCAGACTTCCCGGAGCGTCGGTGCTTCACGTCAGCTATATGTTCTTTCACGCGGGTTTTTATGGATCTTTTTGTTTGACCTATGTAAGAGAGACCATATTCACAATCTAACTTGTACACTCCTGCATCTTGTAGAGGGATATAACACTTGACGGATGGTAAAAATTGACTAATCTTCTTCGGCGGCTTGTAGTATGCTTTAATGGAAGCTCGCTTCAAGATGCAGGCAACCTTGTCTGTGATTCCTCTGACATATGGTAGTACAGCAGGTACACGCTCGACTGTGGCCGGCTTCACTCGGTCACTGTGACGTAGGCGCGGGACCCGAAGCTTGTTGCAATACTTGCTTGACGTGCTGAAGTTCGGCGGCCAGATGTTTTCTGTCACAGATACCTCGTGCTCTCTGAAACAAAGATTTACCCCGGTAGCTAACTGTGAAGGATGATGGTGAGATTCATCATTTAAATATCGGTTGGTATGGGTCTTTTTCCTATACACAGTGTGACCAATTGTGTTATTAGGATTTCGAATGACTAAAACATCTAACTCCGACGCTCCGGGAAGTCTGCAGTCTGCGAACATGTCCAAGATCGTCCCCACCATTACATTAGATTTGATAAACCACAAATTCTCGCAAAAGAACACCGATTCCTACCAAGGATGATACGCGAGGCTATTGAAATTAAAAAACATCCAAATTTCAATAGAGAAGATGGATGGGTGCTGCCACCTGCTTGGGATCCTATAATTAACAAAATTAAACCCAAACCTAAGCATACTGCTGCAAGACTTCATGATACTATAAGCTCGTTTTGCGTAAATCGGACCAAAAATTAATATTAAAAAACTGAAGGTAGCCGGACTAACTATGACATTGGGACGTCAAACATCTCAGTCCCCCCCCCCCGTGACCATGGTTGCTGTAAAGCACCCGAAACGTCGGGAATTAAAAATAAGTAAAAGTAATGAAATAAACGCGATAAAATCCGTAAATTTAGTTTTATTCAATTGATAGCCGAGCTGTCATTGTCCTCCCGCATGATTCGTTTATTTTTAATTCTATGAATATTTATTAAATATAAGCATTAACTGATAAGGTGAAGCGACACTTCACGCCTGGACAGCTTCTAACTTTATACAAAACTCAAGCCCGAACCAAGAGGTTTATAGGCGACACAAAGCTGGTGAAAATTGACAGCTTAGCTCACCGCCGCGAAGTTGCTTGTTTGTCGGTCGTCTATAGATTTTACTTCGGATAGTATGCCTAGTGTGCTTCATAAGCTCAGGAGTACCAGATGTACTGCAGGTTACCATCCACACCTGGTTGACATTCCGAATACCTGGTTAATACTCGCATTAGGCGCCATAAGTCATCTTTTATAATGCGGACAGCCAAGGTGTGGAATGCCCTGTCGACGTCTGTTTTTCAGAGTGCCTATAATCTGGACCTCTTCAAGGTGAGTGTTAACAGTCCTGTCGATGTCTATTTTTCCGAGTGCCTATGACCTCGACCTCTTCAAGGTGGCGTGTTAACAGGCTTCTGGGCAAACTCGCTTCATCGTAAACCTTATCTTAGCCCTCGGGCCAGATGGAGGTCAAGAGAGAGTTCACTTTTAATTTAAAAAAATCCCATATATGTATATACAATTTGAAAACTATATTTCAATAAAGTTCTACGATAAAATTAGTTAGCGACACTCACTTTAAAACTTCAATATCAAAGTTTAGTGCAAATGTAGTTATAAAATGATTCCGAAAATAAAAAAAGTCTTTTCGTCGCCCGATCAAGAACACAAAAACCCTACATTGAGGGCGCTTCTTCTGTGTTTAAGATGGCAAAGAATAACACGATTTGGTCTACAGCTATTTTTGTGAATATATATTATTAATTGATTGCCTCGTTGGTCAAGTGGTCGTTAACGCAATTGCTGATTATTGGGTCCCGGGTTTGAATCCCAGGTCGGGCCAAAATCAATTATTGGGTTTGTCTTGCGCCTGATATCTCTTCGGTCATGTCGGATTACCATCCCATCGGACTATGCATGAGATCTAGGGAATAGAAAGTGCACCTGTGATTGCGCATACACTCGTGCACTATAATCCAGTCCTGCGTAGAAGACCAGTCTCTGTTGAAATCGCCCGCCGTAAAGTAGGTTCGGTCTGGAGGTTATTATTATTCATTACAATCGATAGAATCAGGTGTTACTTTGCGGAAATCCATTATATTCATTCATTTTGAGGCTAAATGTATGGGTAAAGTACTTCTCTATTAAAATACTGATCGACAGCATAGTGGTTCTATAGTGTGATAAACTCTGGGCTTATAAACAAATGCTGTCATTGTCTAAATGAGATATGTAAATGCAACAACGGATGAAAGGATACAGTAACTCCAGGGGCAACGCAGCAGACGAACTAGGCAGGGGAGGATCGGAACTGATCATACCAATCCCCTTTGGGTTCAATCTTTCACAGCTTTGGAAAACTATAAAACTGTAGGCAATCTAGGGAAGTGCTGCCAGCATTGAACACTTGTTAGTTTCTAATAAGACTAAACAAACCATATATCAGGATCAACAAGTGCTTTACGGGGCATGGCTAAACACACCATAGGTGTTAACGACAGTTCCCTGAGCAGGGCATGTATGAAAGAGTAGAAAACGGCGGCTCACGTGTTACTGGTGTAAACAGAGGTCGCATCATCGGCATCTTGGCACGCTGAGGTCGTCGGCAACATTAAAGTAATGCTGACCTTCGAGCACTGCCCCACACGCAAATTACACACTTGTTGCAGTAAATAGACCGTTATAAGCTAAACCGGTGTACAACTCGGAATTCTCTTGGCTACTACAGCTCAAAATAAATACAAAAAGTAAACAAAGATAAATGTAAACAAATTAAGGTTCATCTCAAACGCAATTTACATCATATACATTAATTAAACCATTATAGCCATATGATGTTCTTGGTATTTACGTAGTAATACAGTACTAACTAAATAGGATGATGTGTCTTACCTGGATTGAAGGGCACCTCCCGCCCTCCCTGAATTGCATGCACTAATCCCGTCACCACTACTCCCGGCACCACTACTCCCAACACCAATATTCCAGGAAAGACACACAAGACAGATAGACACGTGTTTTGCCTCTACACAAGGCATCCTCAGGTGATGTAGACTCTATGGCGGCTGACTTAGCGGTCACGCCGTAGAGTGGGGAGGGCGGGAAGTGCTCTTCAATCCAGGTAAGACATATCATTGTATTTAGTTAGCGGAAGGTTGCAAATTAATTAATATCTTTATTATTCATTACTACGTAAATACCAAGAAAATCATATGGTTGTAATGGTTTAATTAATGTATATGATGTAAATTGCGTTTGAGATGAACCTTAATTTGTTTACATTTATCTTTGTTTACTTTTTGTATTTATTTTGAGCTGTAGTAGCCAAGAGAATTCCGAGTTGTACATCGGTTGAGCTCATAACGGTCTTTTTTCTGCAACTAGTGCGTATTATGCGTGTGGGGCAGTGCTCGAAGAATGTCAGCATTACTTTGATGTTGCCGACGACCTCAGCGTGCCAAGATGCCGATGATGCGACCTCTGTTTACACCAGTAACACGTGAGCCGCCGTTTTCTTCTCTTTCATACATGCCCTGCTCAGGGAACTGTCGTTAACACTTATGGTTTGTTTAGCCATGCCCCGTAAAGCACTTGTTGATCCTGATAC